TAAGTATAGACTATTTCAAAAATAAGAAAATAATTTTTAAATTTCAAAAATCAGATATTTGACACACACACACACACACACACACACATATATATATATATAATTAACCCACCCCATCTCCATCACCCTAGTGGTGGCAAAAAAGCTCACCGGCTCGGATGGCTCGAACTCGATTCGGAAAAAGTTCGAGCCGGGCCCAATCGAGCCCAGGCTTGGGTAGAGCCCCATTTTGGGGAGTCGGCCCGACACGGGCTGGCCCGTGATTAATTAAAAAATTAAAAAAATTTTAAAGCTAAATTAGCTGAAAAAAATTAAAAATTATTTTTTTTGGCCTTGCTCGGCTCGAGTCCGAAAAAAGCTCGGCCAAAAAAGCTCGAGCTGCGCCTGAGCTTTTTTTTTTTTCGGCTCGAGCTCAGCTCGTTAACATAGCTACACCACCCTGCCGCTCCGACAATCGTCCAGCGATCGTTTTGGCGACTACTCCGATTCCGGCGACCGTTCCGACGATCATTCCATCGACCGTTCCGGCTACTGCTCCGATTTCGGTGACTATTTTGGTGACCGTTTCTGACGACTGCTCTAATTCCGTAACCCTACATAACGCGGTGCCACCACCATCAACACCAACGGCGCATCCATCACCACCCACAACAAAAAGAATAAGAGAAGAAAAATGCAATGCCACTCAAATCTGGACATACACATAGACCACCACCACCACACAACACGGACTACCACCACCACACAAACCACCACACGGACCACTACCACACCCACGACATATCCACCACCACCGCACCACCCATAGATCCACCACCACCGCACCACACACAGATCCACCACCATCGCAGATCCACAGATCCATTTACACCACACGGTCACAACCACAAAAAAAACATGAGAAGGGGAGGAGGGAGAAGGGAGGAGAGGGACTGCACACGATCGTCGCGAAAAGGCGAGGATGGAGAAGAGAAGAGAGGTGCTGCTGCTTGTCGCGAGAAGAGGAGGAGGGAGAAGAGATGGGCGGTGTTGCTGTCGCGAGAAGATGAGGGAGAATAGAGGAGAGGCGAACCACTGCTTGTCGCGTCACTGCTGCCCCTGCGAGGTGACTGATCGCAGAGCCGGAGCAGCCTTGTGAGCGATTGTCGAAGCAGCCTTCTAGAAGGAGTGGAGTAGAGAAAGAGAGAAAGAAAGAAGATGAAGGGAAATAATTAGGGTTTGGTTAGGGTAGA